TGATAATATTTAATAGAGTAAACTACACATTTAGTACCTAAACTATTACTTTTATTCTGTTTTGGAACTCAAATTATATATTTTTTAAATCGTACCTAACATCTAGTTTAGGTTTCAATTTGGCACCCCCACCATTAAATGTAATAGTTAAAAAGCTATTACATTTAGTTAAAAAGAACGATTGTAGTCAAAAGATTAAATTTAGGATAATGCAAAGTTAAAAGACTAAATTTAAAAGTGAGAGTATATTTTTAGTAAAAATAAGAATTAAAGTTACATAGTTATTCTATAGAGATAGGGGAGAATGTGGTTTAAATTTGGTCAAAAACGTACTTAAAATGAAGGATGAATTGAAGAAATACATAAATCATACAAAATTGAGGGACTAAATTGAAAAAATATAAAATTTTCTATCAAAAAATGGAATTGAAAGTACATTGTATTATATGATGGTTTAGAAGCATGTGGATCAAATTTGATAAAATTTTGAGTTAAAATGAATGAAGAATTGAAGGAATAAGAAATTAGGGACCAAATCGTAAATCTGTCAAAAATATTAATCCAAATTTTTATTTTTTGAGTTACTTAAAATTTTTATAAATTTAACTCGACTCAAAGTTGAAAACCGAATTAATAATTCAAGTTAACTTGAATAACTCGAAATTAAAAATAAATCAATTTTTTGAGTTGAGTCGAGTTTTGCTCCCCTAATCAAACTTATGCAAAGCTCTATTATGTTTTCTCTGCGTTATACGTATAATTATTTTGTTAATAAAATAGACACATTTTCATCCAGCCTAGTTGTTTTCAATGCCTAAATATTTTATTGAAGCTGATTTTGAAGCATGAAATATCAGCCAACTTGAAACAATTTTTCAACTAAGAGTCAAACGTTTTCAAGGCATGATGTCTTCTTAAGATATGACAGACGTTCAATTATCTTTCCAACGCATTTTGAAACGCCTCAATCAGATGTTAAAAACTCAAGACATTTTTATTTTAGCGAAGACATAGCGTACAGAAAATTAGATACAAGCCCAATACGAGAATTTTAATTTATTACGAATTTTTAATATTTTTATTGAATATTTGTAATTAAATTCAACTTTATATTTGTAATTAAGATAAACTGGTAATTGTGTTGGTACCGAAAGGATAATACGGGGGTGCTCATCCTTCTTTAATTATAACTGACTCTCGAATCTAACATTTCTCTAGTAAGATACAGATCTGATAAAATGATATGTTTAAGGTGTATGATCTACCTAATTCAAATACGAATGATAGCGACTCCATCACTTAATCCAAATCAAAACGAGAATTTGGAACCACCGAAGTACCGGTGTGACAATATACATTAAGAAGCATTTAGTTTATAGAATGTTATATTATCTTTATAATAGATAGGGATGATGCAAGTAATCTTTAGTTGCGCTCGGAATAAAAATAGGGCAAAGGTAAAAAAAATTAATGCAACAATTTTAAAGAGATAATTTAGAATGTTGAATTCATTTACTTAGAGCGTTTGATTTTGGAAAATATAGATTAGTTTTATTTTTTTTCAAAAATAAAAACGTTTTATAAAATTAAAAAATAATTTCTAGTAAATAAAAATATGTGAAAATTTGAAAACATAAAACATATTTTTAGTATTTTCATAAAAAATAGAAAAAAACAAGTTTATGTTTTTAACTTGGCTTACACAAGTTCAAATTTTATTTAATGGTATATGAGGCTCTCAAACTTTCACAAAAAAAGTAATATGACCTTTGAATAATTTTTGTACTCAATATAACCCTTAAACTGAGAAAAAAAACTGATCTAACCTTTTAATCAATAAAATTGAATGTTGACAATTATGATGTTGACTTGGTGATCCAAATCAATTTCATAGACTGCCACATAAGCACAGTGAATTACCACGTAATTAACACCGTCGTTCTCAACATTAGATTTTGTTGGTCAAACAGTCCAATTATTTTTTCCCTAAGTTCAAGGATCACACTAAATACAAAAAAGTTCAAGAGTCACACTAATTTTTTTTGTAAAAGTTTAAAGGTCTCAGATATATTAAACCTACATATTATTTTAATAATATTTTTTGTGTGTGCTTTTTCTTACAACATTAATTTTTAATGATATTTTCTTTAATTTAAGGCTTAATACAACAATAATTGTCTAAATTAATCATATAACTGACATCGATGCAAAAGCTTCAAAAATTGGTCTTCGACTGTTTTCTTTCCACCAAAGGGTGACACGTGTCGCTATTTGATTAGTGAAAAATAAATATATTAAATTAAGTAAATTAATCATCCAATTGGATGATGACATGCGTCATGACACTTGGCAATAGTGACACATGACACGATATGATTCAAATGTTAAATTTATTTTAATTTATCAAAATTATGACCAAATTGATAAAAATATATAAGTTACAAGGACCAGATATGTAATTATACCAAGTTTGTTAACTGCCACGTCAGCTTCTCCATTAAATGTTTACGGCAAACGGCTTAATTAAATATTTTTAAATAGTTAGATGACCTGACTGATAAAATTTCAAAAATGATGATCAAAATAAAAGGGTCAATAGTTAGTGGTCAATGATGAGTTTACCCATTTTATTTGCAACTGACACGCGACTATGCTGAGGCAAAATCATGGAAATTTTCAGATCCTTGCATGCCCGTTGTAGAAAAAAGACCACTTGCATCCTATGACACACATATATATATATTGTACTAAGCTAAGACATGCCACGTGTCATGTAGTGTGTGCCAGTGAAGAAGAGAGTCGTGTGACTGAGGGTTTGGAAATGTACATGAAAAGAAAAGCAAGGGTTTCCAACACTCACGTAGTTATGTCCCAAACAAAGGAAAATTAATAATGATTTGAGGGAGATAGACTTGGACTTTTGCTTGGTTGCTAAATTTCCATTCTTTATCAATTAATTTATAAAAATAATACATGTACTATATTTACAAACATCTTTCCCCAAAACAACAGTTTTCTGGATCAAACAACAAACATATGTTAGTTCATATGCTTATCATCAATTACTCTCCATCTTTCCTTCTCTAATTACTAATTTCATTTTCACTAATTGACAACTTAATTAGGAACAAAACGCAAATCCAATCAACGCTAAAACAAAGCAAAACAAAACCCAAAATAGACACTAGCCCCAACTCGGCAGCCCCAAAACCAATATGCGGTAGAAAACTAATACACAGTGCACCCGAACAGAGAGCAGTACAAAGCAAACTTTAACACCTTAGTACAAAACAATTCCAGCACCAGGCTGCAGCCACGCTACCAAACAAGCACCCCTCACTCACTCCCCATATACTACGCTCCCCCAACATTTACAGCCCAAAATCCCTCTTAATACAACCGGATATGCAATACAGCACACTTTTCCCAGATAATCTTACCACCACGCCTTAAAAATTTTGCCCTCCGATCGACCCCCATCACAAGCTAGCCAAAATCCAACCACTGCTAAAAGTTGAATCATAACGAAATTGTACCTTACCAATCACCCTTATTACTTTATCGATTTTAAGAAACATATGCCACCAACACCATGGCCTTAACAATGGATCCTCAAACCATTTTACCACTGCTCTAGACTCTGCGACCACCAAAAAGTCAACACGTCCCTTCCAGCCAGCTTCCAAAAATAATTCCAACACACAAAAGATAGCCCCCACGGCAGCTTGATCCATACTATTTCCTTGCGAAGGGCCTAAAAACAAAGCTCAAGAACCCCAACCCCATGAACCCCTTCTTTCAGAACCAAGTCTTGAAAACCAGCACTGCTTGCCATCCTAACTGAGTATTGTTGAGCTTGACTTGACTCGAAAAGTTTAAAATTGAGTTCAACTCGACTAGAAAGCTCGCAAGCTTAAAATTGTCAAGCTTGATTCGAAATAAAAAATCAAAGCTCGAGTTGAGCTCGAAAAAACTTAAACTCGAAATATTATCAAGCTTAGCTCTGTTGATGCTCAAACTCACCTCAATGCAAGCTTGAACTCGAACTCAAACCAGAACCTTAAGTACATATCACCTTATACTACATTTTTAAAAATGTCATATAAATATTAATATTATTAATAATTAAATTTTTAAAAATAAAAATGATTATATTAATTTTTGAATTGCTTGTGAGCTTTTTAAATCGAGTATAAAAAAACTCGTTTTGGCTTGTTAAAAACTTTAATTGAATTCGAACTCAAGTCGAGTTCATTTAAATCGAGTGTTGACCGAATTTTCAAATAACTTACGATATGTTTCGTTTTATTTACAATTGTACAGAGTACGATCAAAAGTATATTTGCAATCCCAATATAAATCTATGCTGGAAGGATGAGTGTTATGGAGGATGAAGAAGGAAATAAAAGAGGAGGTTTGGTATTTTTTGTATACAATGTCAATACTATCTAAATTTTTATGTAATTATAAATCGGAAAGTATTAAACATTTAATTATATTTGATCCCATGTCCTATAATATAATAATACCGACAATAATATCAATCGAATTAAATTCAGTGGATGAGAATTTAGTATATTTAAATGGGAAAAGAAAAGGAAGAGAAAAATGGGAATGGAAATGGAAATGGAAATGTGAAAGGGTGATTTGGGGGTTGTGGAATACATTAAAAGAAGGATGTAGTTGGAGAGGATGATGGTCACATGGTATTGCGTATCAAGACATGCACATGAAGGCCCACAATGTTAGCTCAAAAACAAACATATTTCTTAAAGCTCACTTGCCATCAAACCCCAACTTGGGAACATAAGCATCAGACCCTTATTTCCCTCCTTTATTTTCTCTCCATTCTATAATCTTAGATACAAATATATTTTGTTTAGAATAGTTTGAGGTGATTATAAAGATGTTATATATATTCAGAATTTTCTGATAATATACATACATCCTATAGAAAAGATAAACACCATACAAATACATACTTAGTTGTTACTTAAAAAACAAACCCCTTTTTAAGACCAACTGTGCTTTCTCCGATGCACTTGTCTTCTTCACGTCCAACATCACTATCTTTGTTATTGTAATCTCTCTCTCACATTCCCCATGGGTGTGGTCCTCTTTACCTCTTTATATCTCTCTCATCACTTTCTTCAGTTCTTCAAACATTACATCTAATACTACTCTACTTCTTCTTCTCCCTCTATTGCTTTTCTTGCCAAACCAAAACCATTTTTCCTTGTGCATTGCATATCTTGTGCGTTTCTAAACCCCTAGGCGAGAAAGTTTCTCGGTTTCCGGTCATTATTACGGTGGTCTTTTTCCCGAACATGTCGAGCAGAAGGTCGAGACAGTCGAGTGCGGGCGTTTCGAGGATTTCCGATGAGCAGATCATTGAACTGATCTCGAAGTTACGGCAGCTCCTCCCCGAGATTCGCGAGAGGCGTTCCGATAAGGTAAATATTGTCGGCATATTCAAATATAAATATCTTATTTGTTTTTATATGGTGATGGATTTTCCTGGTGCATGCGCCACATGGGGATAGTATATTTCAGTTAAAATAATGATACTAGTCCTGGAAAATACAGTTTCAAAGACTTAAACCCGGACATCAAGGAACACACATTTTCTTAGGTTTCAGCTCCTCATTGACTTACAACACTGCATGCTTTCTCCCTAGCCACATGACCATCTCATTATATTTAGATATATAACCTAGGTGCACAAATCAAACGACTTTAGCGATTGAGAGATTATTTTTTTTTTTTTAAGGTTTCGGATCCGAATACTGCGTATAGAAGGAAATGAGTGTTTATTGTGAAATAGTTAAGTATTTTAACAGATTATACTTTATATTCACCCCACACTTTTATCCCTCCAAAAAAATATATAATGTACATAACGGTCTACTTTGTCGACAATGGGTCGGCTTGAAATATCCATATCCCGGTCCAAGCAAGTACCCAGGGATAAACAGATGGGTGTTACGGTACAATCACATATCATTAAAAGTTTAATTTCTTATTAGTTTATGTATTTTCTTTATATTTTTTGCCGATGATTTAATTTTGTATTCCATGAAATTTTATAATTATACAACTCTAAATTTTTAATATAATTCTCATATAAAATTTTACGTCTGTTCGTTCAGGCATCGGCATCCAAGGTTTTACAAGAGACTTGCAATTATATCAGAAACTTGCACAGGGAGGTGGACGACCTAAGTGAGCGGCTCTCGCAGCTGTTGGCCACCATTGATGCAGACAGTGCCGAGGCTGCAATAATCAGGAGTTTAATTATGTAACATATAAACCAATCTTATTACTAGGCTTTGGTCATTAGATCCAACAAATTAAAATTAGAATATATATATTTGTATTTAAATAGTTGAAGATGCTTTCTCCATGTGGCCAGGGTTTGCAATCTAATTACCTAATTTGTATAATAAAAGGACTTGCACTAGCAAAGCCCTTTAATTTTAATGCCAATATAATATTACTTCTGCTTCGCATGAGACAAGCTTCATTAATTCTTATCTTTACGTACTCTTATTGTTTGAAGAATATGATTAATCATACACTAATTCACGTGAAATTAATATGATGCAAATTTGAAGAATATATTTGTGTCGACCCTAAAGCTTTGTGTCGGTAAGTTGGGATCAAGTGTTTTCTAATTTGCTACGAAATCATTATTAGTAAGTGATTTGATGGAAGGTGAATTTTCTTTTTTCCTAACCATACCCTACATGTTACAAGCTTTACATTTTGATCATCGATTATTTTTCTTAAAAACAATTATATGAACCGAATTAAATTTGATTTCGAAAGGGGAACAAAAATCGAATTCACTTTGATGACAAGTGTCCCAAGCATAAATTGAATCCATAGAATTGACCCTTGAGAATACCCCAGCCAGAGTCTAGTCAGTAGGTGCATGCCAAAAGCCACCTGTTCATCTTTTAGTAAACAACTAAACATGATTTGAACCGAAATGACAGAGATTTTGATCGTACAATCGACTATACTCGATTTTCCAGTAAATTAAATTATATATATGTATATTATAGAAATGGCGAGCGTATATGAATCTGGATAAAATTTAAGACCAACATCAACAAATGTAATTTGTAAGGGTGAGTACACAGCGCACGTAGTATATTGAAACAGATTATTAAAGCAGACCCACTTAAACACATTATTAACGACACTAAAACATATCAGTAACTAAATTGTTCTTATTAAATAAATATTAAAAAGGATAAATTACATATTTACCATTTACACTATTATTTTTATTTTATTTTAGTACCTAAATTTTATTTTTTTTCAAAATCATTAACGATAATATTGATATGAAATGACATGTCAATTTTTTATTTTTTTTATTTTCCACATTACCTTTCTATTTCTTTAATTAATTTTATTCAACTAATTAAATGGTGACGCGTGTCGCCAACTATGAGGTAAAATAAAAGAAATCAATATTGTTCTTAGCATGAATTGAAACTAGGCCTTTCACATGAAATGCAAGGTAATCAAACATTGAGTTAAGCTAGTCATTTAAGTTAATGTCACCATTTTTGTATTTAACTTATATAATAGTATCACCACAAAATCAATATTTTTCAATGATTATAACATTTGAATACAAGACACTCTAAATTAATGACCAGAAGCTTATCTATTCAAATATAATGCAAAACTATTTTTATTATATCGAACACAATACTTACTTATCATTATTAAAGTAAAGAATAAGTTTTCACTTTATTTGAAAATAAAAAATAATTAAATAATTATTTTTACATCTGTATAAAATTTATATTAAATTATTCTAAAAAGTATATTTATAATATTATAAAATATTTATTACTTTTTTTAAGATCATATTATTTATTCAAATAATATTAATTATTTATTTGAAATAATGTTATTTTTAAATTATCTATTTAATTTTAAATAATATTATATGGAACCAAAGTGAAAGTTTGATACTAAATGTGTAATTTACTCTAAATTTTAAATTATTTAAAATTAAATGGATAATTTTAAAATAATATTATTTCAAATAAATAATTACTATGACTTTAAAACTTAAATATTTTTTTATAATATTATAAATATACTTTTTTATAATGATTTTATATAATTTTTATAAAAATATATAAATTATTTAATTATTTTTTATTTCTAAATAAAGTAAAAAATTAATCTTTGAATTTAATAATGATATAAGTAAAATGATATTCTAGGATTTTTGCCTTTTTTCTCTCTAGGGTTTTTGCCTTTTGTCGGAACGATTTTTCTTTAATTTTTTTAATAAATAGGGATTTAGTAAAAAAGTTTTGTCTCGAATAATTTGGGACTCAAGTTAAAAAATAATAAAATCAGTTAGCGGAGTCGTCACCAATCCTTGATTAGGGTGTGATTGGGCACCCAAAAACGTATTTTGTCATTTTAATAAAAAATATTAATTTTAATTAAACAACAATTTTACGGTCTGCTTTACCAAAAATTTGAGTTCGAGAGTCGATTACACGTGGGGAATGATTAACACCCCCAAAACGCCCTAAATCGATACCTAGTCGATTAATTAGTTGTCTTTACAATGGCATTTACGATTTCAAATTTAATTTAATTTAAGATCCCTTTAGATAATATTATTTGAATTTTAAGACAAAACATAATAATATTTAATTATTTCCTATCGAGAAGAATCGACCTCTCATGCCTTAAAGCAGTCGATTCTTACTCCAATCGAACTAAATAAATATTACAATTACATCCTAAAGTTCCTTATTAATTCCAAATTGAAATGCAAAAATAACTATAAAATAAAATAAAACATTCTTTGAATTTTAGGAGGAAAAAAGAAAATATTTAATTATTTTCTATCGAGAAGAAACGACCTCTAATACCTTAAAACAATCATTTCTTACTCCAATCAAAATGAAAAAATATTACTATTTCATCCTAAAATTCATTATTAATTCGAATGTGATTTATTTTTGAAATCATATTAAAACACACACAAAAAAATGAAAATTAAACACAAATATCAAACAAATACGAATAATTAATTAATTTACAAACCTTTAATGAGAACAAGAATGTTCAATTATTTAAATACATTGAGACGAGACCTTAGATATGATCTAACAGTATTTTCTCGGTTAATTTAATTAAAAGAATATAATCTTTTTCTTAGTCCCAAATTTTAAATGTAATTAATTTTATTCGTTTCATTTGATAGGATACCCTTTTATTTTTATTATTATTGAAAGCGACCTCTTATTATTTAATACAATCACTTCCCCTAATCTCAAAATACATGGATATTCCCTTAGTCAAATTATTTTGATCGAATCAAGAAATATTTGTGAGGATATCATGCAATTTTAATTAAAATAGAACCTAGACCGATATACACCAAATTACACATTTACATACATAGCATACATAATAATAATAATACAATTAATATATATAAAATAACATTTATTATATTATACTATAATTAGTATGCATAGATTAATAATACAGCACATATGGACGATTTCTTCTACAAAGGGACATACCAAATATATTTACTACGAACGCATATGCTTAGATGTAAACTAAAAACATACGGATATATATCTAATTGAAAACATTAACCAAATAAAAGCAAAATACCTAAAGGCTAAATACACCATGTTTAATATTAACATCTAGGGCAAATAACAAGTATAAATTATATGAAATAATTAAATGAAATATTTACATACAAAATTCCAAATAAAAAAACGAATGACGAACAACACTACAATATGGTAGTATATCTAACAATAAATAAATAATGAAGTTAAAATATAAAAAAAAAATTAAAATTACAAAGTCCAATCATAAATGAGCAAACACATTTAAGGACGGAAATTAAATAATTATGACATTCATAGCTCAAATTAATAAAGACAAAATTCAAATAAGGACAAAAATGAGAGTTTTCAGAATTACATATTGGAAATTAAAATAAACAAAAGATCAACAAGTCAAAGTGACTAAAATACAACATGCTTAAATAAAAAGGTGAAATAAAAAATTAAAAAGATTTAAACATTGACTAAAACACAACTTTGCAAGTCCAGAGACCCTTGAATAATTTACCCTTGCACTAAATGATAGTTGCATTAAAGCCCAAAAAGGTGTCGTTTTAGATTTCATTTATATACCATTATAAAAAAAAAATATCCTAAGGGTGTGTTTGGTTGGGGGAATGTGAGATTCCTATGGGAATGAAATCCACATTCCCCGTTTGGTTGGCCGGGAATGTCATTCATGATAATCTTATTACCAATAGTAGATTTTTTAGGTATACCGGGAATGTCATTACCCCCTTTCCTTAGATATTGTTGGATTACCGGCGTTTTGGACTAAAATGTCCTTAATTTTTTTTCCTTTCAAAAATATCATTATTCTTTCATTGAATAATAAAAATTCTACGAAGGTTAAATTACAAATTTATCCTTAAACTATTTTAGATTTACAAAAAAATCTATAATTAAAATTTTATATGAAGTTCAGGGGTAAAATAAAATTGTACCCTTTCATTAAACCTTTTTATATTTTTAATTTTGCAAAAAAAATTATATAAATTTTATAAATTTAATTTTTTAAAGAAAATATATAATATTTTTCAAATTGTTAAAAAACAATATATAATAAGGATAATTTGATCAAATATACATTATAATAATCTTTTATTCCTTTAACCAAACACGATAATCTTACATTCCTGCTAAACCAACCAAACACAAAATACAATATTCTCAGTAATCCTATTCCCTGGTAATCTTACATTCCAATTGGTAATCTTACATTCCGTGAACCAAACGCACCCTAACCCTCATTTCCAATCTCATCCGTTTTCACCACACCCCTTTCTCTCTCATTTCATTTCCTTTAACCAAGAGGGAGATGAGCCTCCCTTTGGCCGCCTCCTTTGGTTGATATTTCATCCTAAAATTTATTATTAATTCGAATGCGATTTATTTTTGAAATCATATTAAAATACACACAAAATAAAACGAAATTAAACGCATATGTCATACAAATATAATTAAGACAATTAGTCCTAAAATTATTTTATCAACCTTTAATGAGAATAAAGATGTTCAATTATTTAAATACATCGAGACGTGACCTTAGATCCAATCTAACAATATTTTCCCAGTGAATTTAATTAAAAGAACATAATCTTTTTCTCAGTCCCAAATTTTACGTGTAATCAATTTTTAAGGTTTCACTTAATGTGATACACTTTCATTTTAA